CGGCTGCGGGGCAGCTGCACATCCACATCGGAGCTGGGCTTCGGAAATCGTCTGCTTAATGAGTTATCTCTGCCCCGCACAACGCTGCTGTTCTAAAACCTTTGTTTAGTTTAAATTATCTTCTGTCTGAGTTCTAAAAGCTGCTGTCACAGTGGTTCTAAAGCCGCTGTTACACCTCAGGTGTGGGGTGCCCTCTGAGTGGAATCACCAGCTCGTCTCCCTTCCTTTTGCCTCCATTAGTTAAACTCAGCTGTAGAAACAGAAGTTTTAAATGGCTGATGTGGTGGTTACAAACTATGTTTCATAGTTTTTGTTTTTTTTCCATGCATTCAGAATGAAATCTGTAGATAAATAGGGCTTTAGGAGAGTTACTGTTAATGAAGATGTGATGTAGGTGTTTTGTGGCAAGAAAATAAGGAAAAAATGTTTAGCTGGCAGTTAAATGGCAGTTAAAAATGTCAGCACAGGCTCTTTTAAAAGTAGTGGATATTGGCTGCCTTAAAATGGTCAGGCTGTTGTGTAACTGCACAGACAATAAATGTTACACATGGGCTTGTAATACAGAATTTAGAACTCTAATTTAGTGTTTTTCAGATGAGTCTTTCCAGATAAATTTTCTTAGTTTTTGAATAGGAAAAGTACTTGTTTCCCCATTATTTGTTCAGTATTTGTGCTACTTTAGGATCTTTAGGGTCTATTATACGTGTCAGAAGTGGAAAGATGTTTCTAAAGCACAGGATTGTAAATCTGCCGGTTATCTCAAGTGCCAGTGGAATACAGGTGATACAGGTGCATTCTTGTGTTCCAGTCCTTTGTTTAGTTTATTAAATCAGCAGCCAAATATCCAAGATAAAGGAAGTGTTTACTGTTCCCAGTTTAGCAGTCTGTGGAACAGCTCTTTGAACTTTTACATTTGTTTCTTAAAGAGACTTTGGCAAAATTGCCTTGGAGTTGGATTCTTTTTGCTAAGTGCCTGCTCAATAAACGTTGTGTACATTTAGGATTGTTATATTCAGTTCCTTCTTGGAAACTGAGTATATTTTCCATCCCCAACTGTTTTGCTGTTAGTTAATTTGGTTAACTTCTCAGCTGTCTGAAATCCAGTGTTAGTGGCTGAATTACAGGGATTAAGTTTAGTCACTCTTGCTGGTCTGGCTTTATAGATGTGTGTATTGCTAGTTGAGCTTCCTTATTCCTTTCCCATTATTTTGGTGCCTCCCCAAGGAGAAAATCAGCCCAGTGTGACCAAACCAAGGCTCTTTCACTGCTGTGATAACTCAGATGCTCAGGAGCACCTGTGAGCTGGAGCAGCTGCAGCACTGGAACATCTCAGATCCTTTGCTGCCTCTCCTTTTCCCCAGGAGGGGTTAAAGTTAAAGCAGAAGGGATGTGTTGGAACCCACTTAGGGACCAGTGAGGCTTCAGTTCAGATAATGACAGTGGTCCTTCAGATGCTGCCAGCTGGAGATAGCCCTGCACCCACCACACCCTGCTTCCCTTCTGGCTGCAGCAGGAGCTGGCTGAACCTGCTTCTTGCTCTTTGAAGACTCCTTTGTTCACAATTGGGAATTTAAGGGCACAGTGTGGGAATTTGGCTTCAGTCTGTTACAGTTTTGCCTCCATGCAGGGTGTAATTCAGCCACTCTCACTGGATTTCAGACAGCTGAGAAGTTATCCAAATTAATTAACAACAAAACAGGTAGAGATGGAAAATGTGCCCAGTTTCCAAGAAGGAACTGAATATAATAATCCTAAATGTACACAAAGTGTATTAAGCAGGCACTTAGCAAAAAGAATCCAACTCCAAGGCAATTTTGCCAAAGTCTCTTTAAGAAACAAACGTAAAAGTTCAGAGAGCTGTTCCACAGACTGCTAAACTGAGAACAGCAAACATTTCCTTAATCTAGGATATTTGGCTGCTGATTTATTAAAGTCATTTTTGAGAAGTGACTATGAAAAAAATGGCTAAAGGAGCCTTAAAAATGGCCCTTTTGTGTTTTACTTTGGTTTTCTCCTTTTGCTAATAGACTCCTGTGGAAATGTCCTTGTGGGACATGCTTTCTTTTATATATATTATTTTGTTATTTGTAGTTCCTGCATGCACATGGAGTTAATATTTTTGAGTGATAAATATTGCTAACAACAACATTCTGGATGCTACCTAATCTTGGTGGTAATGGGCTCAATATTTGTGATTTATGTTGCCCCAGATCAATAGGAAGCTTCATGTGTAATAACCTGTTGAAGCTTAAAGTTGAAGAAAGCAACTTTTTAGTAGTTTGGAATTCAAAGTAAGCATGTTTCTCATATTTCTTCATTGCTGGAGATCTTCCCAGTCATGTTTCTGGGCAGAAAAATTTCTTGAATTACAAAGCCACCAAAAATCTGATGTCTTCAAAATATCAGCATATACAACACCTTTTTTAGTTTGTTGTCATAGTTTAAGTCTTTCTACATGTTTGGGTTTTTTTCCTGGTCTGTGATGCTATAGATAGTCTGACTTTCCAAATTTGATCTAATTCAAAGGTATGGTGGTGTGAACTAATTTTCTCTGTAGTCTTGTACTTCATAGTGATCTTCACATAATCTTAAAGCTTGCTGCAGATATTCAGGAATTAATATGTTCAAAGAATATCTAGTGTGAAAAGAAGTGTGCTTGTCTTCACAAAGCTTAAATATGGCTTTCAGTGCTTTAGACCTTTGTTTTTGTGCTTAATTAAAGGTTTAGATGGAGTGTGAGTTCTTAATTACAGTGATGCTGAGACAGGCAGAGCTTCCAGTATGGTGGATAGTTTTGAATTATGCTAAAACTTGTGTAATTTGGGAGGGAGGTGCAGGGTGCATTTATTTTTATCAAAGTCACCTGGTTATAATTTGAGCAAGGGGACTGGTCAGAGGTCAGATAGTAAATCATGCATTTGTCAGTGCTATTGTCAGTTTTGGGGACTTTGTGAGCCAGTTCATCTCCTGAAAAAATTGATAGAGGAAGCATGGACAACCTCAGTGTGTAAACCATGTTTTTAAGAAAGATTTAAAGAGTGGGGTGATCAGAGTTTGTCATAAAACCACAGCTTAGTCAGAGTGTGCTGTTGGGGTGTTGTTCAGTTCTTTTTCTGATAGAAGGTTCATTCGCTACCAGGTTTCTTAAGTGATTCTTGAAATTTCTTGAAGTGCCTCTGTTTTCTTACTCTCACTGTTCTTTTCATCCTTGTCTTCCCTCCTTCATGATGTGAGCAGTGCCTTAGTTTCCTGTCTGTGCTGTCTTTGCAGAGCTGCTTGGTGACATCCTGAAAGATCAGCCCCAGGAGGCAGATGGAATAGACTCAGTGATTGTTGTGGATAACGTGCCCCAGGTTGGACCAGACCGACTGGAGAAACTGAAGAATGTCATCCACAAAATATTCTCCAAGTTTGGTAAAATTATCAATGAATTTTATCCAGAAGCAGATGGAAAAACAAAAGGGTAAGTCATGATAAGCCAGAGCTGTGTTTCAGTCCTTTTTCCAGTTGGAGTTATCTTTGATTTTTGATGTCAATATTTTATGGCCAGTTTTTATAGTGACCTCCTAGTTGTTATCATCACCTTCTTCTACCTCAGCCTCTGCTGTCCTCACATCAGTCTCAGTGACAAACAAGTTCCTGAGGGAACTGAGAAGATGAATAGCTCATTAGGTTGGATGGTGGTGATTAATTATGGAAACAGTTTAGCTGGGTTTGGAGACAAATTTCTGTGCTATGGGGAGTTTTTTTCTTAGTTTTCTGCTATGGCAGAAGTTAAAGATCCTCTTGAGCTAAAAACTTAGTAGCAATGGCTGGACTGTTTGTTGCAAACTAGATTGTCAATGTCTGTAGGATATATTCTGAGTTTTGGAGGAATCCACACTTTATAAGGCATGAAAAGAGTTTTCTGGAGTGCAGGGATTGTTGCTTCTATAAGGTCAGCATGAAAATTATTCTGTGTTCATGCCTCTGAGATGCTGTTCAGGGTAGCATTAGTTTTGAGTCTGCTGGGCTGCAAGCTAGCTTGGATTAAGTGGCCAGAAGAAATGAGTTCTGTAATTGAAAAGCATTGAAAGAAAAAAATTGAAGAAGTCTGTGAAGCAAGTTCCAGTTCCTAAACATGACCTGTTACTCTTATGGGAGGAGCTGTGGATGTTCCTGCATGTTCCTGTCTCTCACTTGTCCTGGTTGTGTTGAGCTTGCATTCACTGCTCTGGCCCATTTCAGAAAGGATATCAGATTAACTGAGGTCAGGCCTAGAGAGCTAAAAAGTGTGTGTGAGCCTGTGGCCAGAATGGGGATTAATTTGCTGTTCACCCTAATTGGTTAAGGACAAGACAAGAAGTTATCTTGTAGATGCTCTGTACTGAATTCTTAATTCATCCCCATTGTTTGTGCTTTATTTTGGGCCTGTTGTGTAGTCAGTGTCTTGCACTTTGGTTTTCCTTCCTTGCAGGTACATCTTCCTGGAGTACATGTCTCCCTCCCATGCTGTGGATGCTGTGAAGAATGCAGATGGATACAAACTGGATAAGCAGCACACTTTCAGAGTGAACCTCTTCACTGACTTTGATAAGTGAGTGCAGCAATTGTGTGTTGTCTGTAAATTTGGGGATTCTAATCCTGAGTGCCTGCATGGAGTGTAACCAACCAAATTGCTCTTTCAGGTACATGACAATCAGTGATGAGTGGGAAATCCCTGAGAAACAGCCATTTAAGGATTTGGTAAGGAATTTTCGGAAAAGTGGAAAGAATATTCAGCTTAATATGAAATGGTTACTTCATTGCTGAAATGTCCATATGAAAATAGAAACCATGTGCTAATGTGTTGTAAATAGCAGTGCTGATCACCTGCTGCTGTTCCTTCATGCTCTCCATCATGCACTGATGGGAGGAACTCAGTGCTTCTGCTTAATAGTTACACATAGTGTAAGGCTTAATTTACTCTTATTATTTTAGAGTGAATAATAATTTTGCACAAGTCATTTAAAAACAGATTTTCAAAAGCATCTTATATTCTTAATTGTTTGAGGTAGACTAGTGTTTGTTACTGGTTGCTTTGTAAATAGGCTGGTGGAAGAAACCATAGTTTGCTTTTTCTTTAAAAACCAAATACAAATTACTTCCTGTTTAAAATAAGTATTAAACATCATCAAAACACCTTGAAGGTCCACCTGTTTATGGTGTGCTCTCAGCCTCCAGCATCCAGTAACTGGAATTGTTTAATTTCACTTCAAAAGCTTGTTTGGAGTAGTAAGACCCCAAAGTTGCACTCTCTGGTAAGATCAGCTTCCTCCTGCCAGGTGGATACTGATTAGTGGAACTTGCTGACTTGGCCTTGGACTCACTAACAGTCTATTGCTGTTTTTCTCAGGGGAACCTCAGATACTGGTTGGAAGACCCTGACTGCAGGGATCAGTACAGTGTGATCTTTGAGTCAGGAGACCGGACATCCATTTTTTGGAATGACATCAAGGAACCTGTGCAAATTGAGGACAGAGCAGTGAGTGTCCTGGAAGTGCTGGAGATTGCAGATACACTGCCAATCTCCTTTATTTTATGACATTGCGGGGTTTTAATTTTTAAAAAAGGCTTTTTCCCATTGCTGAAATTTTTTTTTCCTTGTGAAGAGTGGTGAAACCACATCCTTTAGAATTAGCCTTAGCTGCTTTGGTAAGAGAACTGTGAAGTGAACTTTTTAAGTTTTTGGTGGTGTTTTGTTTTTTTTTTTTTAAACTGGTTTATGATGCACATTAGTTTCCTTCATCTCTCTGTTATAGGTGATTTAGAAAGACCTGAGAGTGCAGAGTCAGAGTTTGAGGAGCACTATTCATTTGAGCTGAATATGTGCTTATGTTTGCTGCTTCAGATGACTCCTTGCTTTTGTGCTGACCACAGAGGTGTTAAAGAGGAATAGCTGGTTTGGTAATGGCATAAAAAGGAGGTTTAGTCTGCCTGTGTGCTGCAGGCACTGGACTTGCTGGGAACTGTTAGGACCCAGGAGCATTTTCCTTAATAACCATTGTGCATTTCAGCAGGAGGAAGTTGGCTCTGGGATGGTGAGAATATTTGCTCATCACCATGGTCTCTGGCTGTGGTCTGTAGTGCAGAGATCTCTCTAACTTAGCTGAAGGTCCAGAGCTGTGTTGTTCAGAAATTCAAAATACCCACCCTTACTTTTGAGAACAGTATGATCTTGCCAAGGCTGAAAGAAGGAAATCCAGGGTGTTAGGTGGGTTTGTTATTGCACAAAGGATGTCACTGTTCCCGAAAAACCTTTTTTGGTGATCCATAAGTTGAAAAAGTCTCAATTGACAGTTTTCAACCTGAAGAATAAGTACTGTACATCATGTGCATGAAATAAAACTCCACAGTTATCACACATCCTGAGATCTTCGCTTAGTAAAGGGATTTACAAAATGTGCTGCTACAAACCATGCATGAATTCTTTCCCTTTTAGGGACACAGCATGAAATTAAACTTCTGTGTGTACTTTCTTGTTTAAATGCAGAGATGGACAGAGACCTACGTCCGTTGGTCCCCCAAAGGCACCTACCTGGCCACGTTCCACCAGAGGGGCATTGCTCTGTGGGGTGGAGAGAAGTTCAAGCAGATTCAAAGGTTTAGTCACCAGGGAGTGCAGCTCATTGACTTCTCACCCTGTGAAAGGTAGAGTGTGATGTTGGTTTGGGCTATAAGGTGTCAAAAGCATGAGGCATGAACAGCACTCCAAATCTGGAGTGCTGAAATTAAGTTCTTAAGATTTATTTAACATTAAAGAGCTCTGGAGAGGAAAAAATAATTTCAGGACTGAGATGCATTGTCATTTGAGTTTTCAAGTAACACATTTGGAAGCAGTTGGGTTTTATGCTATTTTGTATTAAAGAGATTATTTCCTTTCAATGGGGAAGCCCAGCATGCCTGTAATTTGTGTTGGATAAGTTCAATGATTTATGTTTGATTTGAAACCAGTGTTATTCTCATGTCAAAACTATATAACAGTGTATTTGGTGAGTTCCTCTCCCTTGTAACATCAATATGGAAAAACTTGCACATAAATCTGGAACCCTTTCATCCAGAGGGATGCCAGGGAAACTTTCTCCTTCTTTATCATCCTGTTCTTATTTTTCCCTCCCCTGAAAAATCTTACTAGAGAAACTGCTGTTTGAAAGTGCCTGGTATTTAAATACCACTTGGATAAAAGCCTGCTGATACTGACATATTAGATGAAGGTTCAATACTGAATTGGTTTATTTATTTTGTAGGTATTTAGTGACCTTCAGCCCTTTGATGGACACACAGGATGACCCTCAGGCTATCATCATCTGGGATATTCTGACTGGCCAAAAGAAGAGAGGATTCCACTGTGAAAACTCAGCTCACTGGCCTATTTTTAAGTAGGTTGAGAAATAGAATTGGAGTAGAGAGTTGTGGTCCCAGACTTCATTTAATAAAAAGGCAGTTCAAATTTAATTTTTTTCTTTCTTGCTTAGATGGAGTCATGATGGTAAATTCTTTGCTCGAATGACTTCAGATACCCTCAGCATCTATGAAACACCTGTAAGTTCTTGCCTTTTTTACATAATAACGAGAGTAGAAATATGTGTGTAAATGTAAGAATGTTACTAACTTGAAACTTCATCCTTTTCCCATCTTTTAGTCTATGGGTTTGTTGGACAAAAAGAGCTTGAAAATCAATGGAATAAGGTGAGTTTATTCCCTTGTAATCATAACTGTGCTCTTTAGCTGGAATCTTTTAGTCTGGGGGTTTGTTATGGCAAGAACAATCTTTATTTTGCCTGGAGCAAAGAGCTTTACATGTTGAGGTGGTCAAATTAGACAAAGTAGCAAAAAGAAATAAAAAACTCTCCACTTGTTGATGAACACACTTGGTAGATTCTGTGCTTTGAAATCCTCTTTGTGGTACTGCTTAATCCATCTGAGGAATTCTGTTTCTTGTCTACAATACCAGACTGGAATGCAGTTTATTAGGGAATATCTCCCTAACAAGGTGGTTGTGCTGGCTTAGAGCAGTGTGCTGTGTCTGCACAAGGCACATTGACTCCTGTGAGAGTTTTTAAAGTAAATCTCTGTAAAGCAGCAAGAAAATTAAGTGTACCCAGGTGCAAGAAGATGGTCTCCATGGTAATTTAGTAGGGATTTTTTTTTGGCTCATTTGTTCTTAGAGCTTTAGCAGTTACTCTGTGTGCAGCCCCTGCTTTTTGGTGAGATATACTGGTGAGACAACATCAGTGATATAGCAAATTTAAACAGCTGCTTAAAAATCTGTTTAGGTATTGTTATTAAATTGCCCTCAGTTCTGTATCTGTGCCTGTCTTTATTACTGAGAGTTGATCTTTGTCTGCAACATTCAGATACTATGAGGAAAGTGGTTTTGGCTTGTAGTATCTAACTGAAAATTAAACCAGCATATTTTTAACTTTGTTCCTGTAGAGACTTCTCATGGTCTCCAGGTGGTAACATAATTGCTTTCTGGGTGCCTGAGGACAAAGACATCCCAGCAAGAGTGACTTTGATGCAGCTGCCTTCTAGACAAGAAATTCGTGTGCGGAATTTGTTCAACGTGGTCGATTGCAAACTGCACTGGCAGAAGAACGGGGACTACCTGTGTGTGAAGGTGGACAGGACTCCCAAAGGCACACAGGTACATGGCTTCTGATCTTCCTGGGAAAATCTGGCTCTGCCTCATGCTTCCTTTTCTTACAGTGCTGTCTTTAAGTAAAGACAGTATAAATTATATCATATCAAAGCTATTTTTAATCTTTTCTGCTTGAGTTTGAAGCATGTGGAAAGCAAAATGTATGTAATGTTTGCAACCAGAATTTGATTTGACTTTAGTGGCCTCTTGGTCTCTGTGAGGTCTGTGCCTCACCTCTTCTCCTGATCACAATTAAGCAGCTGTTGAATAACATGTAGGTCAAACTGCACAATGTGCCACATGTTCATCTGTCTTAATTAGATTTTATAACAGTCTGAAAAAAAATAAATGCTTTTCTACAATTCTGAAGTTATTCTTTATCAGAACAAATTGGGAATGTTTGTGGTAAGGAGGCATATTGTGTTTATCTGCTCTCATTAAAGGAAAAAACCTTGACTCATTCTCATCCTGTGTCCTAACAGGCTAATTGAGGAATTGTCCTTCTATGCCTAGTGATAAAATTACTTACTCTGCTGTTTTTGTGCTGGTAATGAGCTGATTTTGGCCTTCACAGGGAGTAGTGACCAACTTTGAAATATTCCGCATGAGAGAGAAGCAGGTGCCAGTGGATGTGGTGGAAATGAAAGGTAATGCCAAGTATTTCCTTACTTTTGAGCTTGAACTTTTCTGCAGAGATGCTTGTGTCTTTCTTAGAAATTCTTATCAACACCTGACATAATTTAACCCTTTGGAAAAGAGCAGGATTTCAGTGTTGCAGAATGTCTCATGTAAAAATGAGAAATCAAAACTTCTGTTGCTGTTCATGCTTGTGACTGACTTGAAAAATGACAGAACTGAAAGTCTGTTATTAATCAAAATGGTAGGGCTGATAATAGCAATGTATTTTGTAGATGATGGAAGACTTAGAGCTATGGTTAGAAACATTTCCCCAAACTCCCTGCAATTGCCTTATCAACATGTGTTTTAATAGAGGCTCTGTTAACTGATGGGTTCTCTCTCTTCAATATCTTGGTTTTCTTTGGTAACAACTTGAAATCAGAGGTTTGTATTGTCCTTTAACAGATTTTTGGTCTCTCTTGTTACAGAAAGCATCATAGCCTTTGCTTGGGAACCAAATGGAAGCAAGTTTGCTGTGTTGCATGGAGAAACTCCACGAATTTCAGTTTCTTTTTACCATGTTAAAAACAACGGGAAAATAGAACTCATAAGTAAGTGAAAAACAAGTGAGAAATGCAGATACTAAACATTTTGCACAGAAATAGATGCAATAAAGTCAAAATTACATCTGTTTGTGATCTTTTGTGAGAAATTAGTGGGGTTGATTCTTGTAATTGATGGCATTGGATTGAGATCTCTTTCTCAATTTGTCTAATTTCTTTTCAGAAACTTTTGACAAACAGCAGGCAAACACGATATTCTGGAGTCCCCAGGGGCAGTTTGTGGTGTTGGCTGGCCTCAGGAGGTGAGTGTTGCACAGGTTGCTGAACATTGATTTTAGAAGTGGTAAAGAAGTACAAAATCTCACCAAGAAGTGTTTGGTGTCCCTGACAATGCTGATTGCTGTAATCCTGATTGAGCTGTGCAAAAGCTAAGGCAGAGCAGAGGTGCAGCTTCATGATCTTACTCCTTTGCAGCTTTCGCTTCCTATTTTTGCCACACCACATGAAGAATGCATTTTCCAACAGAAAAGTGGATCTTTAGGAACACCTTCTAGCTGTTTAAGTTAAATCTGACTGAGCCAATCCAGTTTGGACGTGCTTATGGCTCTTGTGATGCATTTGTTGTCATTGTCTTGTGCCCTTTCATGGGCAGTGCCTGTTACTGGCAGTGCTGCTTTGTGAAAGAACTAACAAGAAAGTTTCACTTTAGAGCAAGTGAAAATTATTGTCGTTAATCATTCAAGTAATATTTGCTTTCATGTGCTTTCAAACAAGCACTGCTTTGCATATTAGAAATCTTTTCTTTTATCTCTTCTTCACTATGTCTAAGCATATGATTGTTAAACTTTGGCTGTAGCTTGCCTAGAACCTGTTTTTACAGTGACTTTACCCCACGTATTTGTATTTTTATGGGTCCCTGAACATAGAAACAGAAGTGTCATTCTTACGTGGCATTTTGTTTTTATCCACTGCCTTCCTTTCCAGCCACAGAGACTGGCAGGAACCTGGCTGCTCTCTTGGCTGCTGTGAGACTTTGTTTGCAATGAGTTGTAGTAGAGATGCAGCTTGTGGCCTGTTTTTCCAAGCCCAGGCTGTGCTGGTGTGTAAAGCAGTGTCCTGTTTTTCCTGTGCAGCATGAATGGTGCCTTAGCCTTTGTTGACACATCTGACTGCACCATGATGAACATCGCCGAGCACTACACGGCCTCGGACGTGGAGTGGGACCCCACAGGCAGATACATTGTCACCTCTGTGTCTTGGTGGAGCCACAAGGTACTGATGCACCTCTTTTCCCCACCCCTGCCTGTTCTTCCAGTGGTTTTGGAAAGGGTTATTGATTAGGAAGAGAAAATGAACCCTGTCACTGGTCAAATGACTTAACCTCCACCACAGTTTTAAACATTATTTCTGAGCACTCCAGTGTTAAGTTAAAGTTTATTTTGGCTGAGCTGCTGCATTGCTCTTCCAGGTGGACAATGCATATTGGTTATGGACCTTCCAAGGCCGTCTGCTTCAGAAGAACAACAAAGACAGGTTCTGTCAGCTGCTCTGGAGACCACGGCCGGCCACCCTGCTCAGCGAGGATCAGATAAAGGTAGGGCACTCCAGGGACTTTGTGCTGACATGGATTTGGGGCATAAAGCATACTTGGTGTGCTCCCTCTTCTTGGGCATGAGGTTTGTTACACAACTGCCTTTTTCCCTGAATGTGTGAATAAACACATTGCTGTGTGGGACCTCACTTCTGGGAATGTCTGCAGACAATAACTGTATTATAAGCTCAAAATAGAAGTGATTACCAGTGGTTCTTACAGTTAGGGTATGATGAAAGGATATAAAGAAGACTAAATTGAATTTTGCTCTTCAGACCTTTCTAGTTGTATGTGTACAGGAGCGCTTGTATGATCTATAAGCCAGGAGGTACAAAATTATAGTGAAAGGAAATTGCCTAGCAGAGAGATGTTTTTCAGAAGGGCATAGCCTGCTTAGGCCTACCCAAGAAGTGCTTAGAGAAGATGATGGTTGTAATTGCTAGCCTGAAACTCCAGTTGAAATAAAATTTCCTGTTTCACAGCAAATTAAGAAGGACCTGAAGAAATACTCCAAGATATTTGAGCAGAAGGATCGTCTGAGCCAGTCCAAAGCTTCAAAGGCAAGACACTTTTGAAATATATTATAGATCAAACTCTTGTAGCCTAGCCTTAGTTTGTACTGGGGATAAATAAGTTGCATTTCCTGTATCACAAATGTTCACTTGATCCAGATGGTTAGAATTAGTCCCATGGGTAGTTCAGAGAGGTGCTGCTGTAAAGAGTCTGGAGAGGAACTGGTGTTCTGTCATTAAGCAAAGGTGGTAACATTTTGGAGTTCTTAGCATGTTGCTGCTTTAGCCAGTGTTTAAATTAAGAAAACTTTCAATTAGAGAAAGGACACCTCACCAAAATAGTATTCTGATCAGAGAAGAGAGTCTTTTTTTCTTCTAAGTCAGTAGAAGTTGTTTATGAGAACAAAGTTGCCTTGCTCAAGCATGCCTGGGGTGTGGGTTTGGTTCAGGGGGAGGCTGAACATCCCTGGG